TGTATACATATATACAGGTACTTATCAATATATACACATATGTCTATATTCAATATATAATTATACACATAACAGAATATATATGATATATAGATATATAAAAGATAGATACATTACAGACTATATATTATCTGTCATAACAATTATATATAGTCTATATACAATTATATATAATATATACTGCTTAGAAAATAGATATATGTTATAGGTTGTATGTCTCATATATACAGAGAGACAGAGAGGAAGAGAGAGACAGAGAACTTAGACATTTTCTTCTATACAGAAATGGGATCATATTAATTTTTTTCACTTAATATTGCTTGTATACCTTTTCATGTGGATATCATACACATAAATCTACTGAATTCTTTTCAATAGCTACATTATATGCCATTGTATTAACGGCCCATAACTATTTAACCAGCTAGATCAGCATTTTTATTATTTACCAGTATTTTGCCATTACACTATTACAGAAAGTGCTACAATTATATTTCTTATTTTTTTATTTATTGACTTATGCAGTAACAGGGTAAATTAAGATTGCCTAAAAAAAAGGTGCATTTTGACAGATCATATACTTTACCATCTAAAACTTATATAAATATGAACTTCCAAAGGTATAAGAATGGCTATTTCCTATGTCTTTACCAACATAGCTGAAACAACCATAGTGTGTACACAAACATATGATATCATCTAGATTAATAACTTTAAAGTAAGCATTTGAGCTTTAAAATGTAACATAGCTATGGGAAAATGCACAATTGTATGGGCTTAGATTTATGAATATTTACAAGGAGAACACATCCATGTAATAGCAATAAGCTCAATAAATAGTATATGAATAATAAATCAAAGTACCCTGATAATACTCTCCAATGTCCCTACACAATGTCTTTCCATAATGATTTTAATGATTATGGAAAGAGTAAATTTTATGATTTTAAACAATAAAACAGTATATGCTTTTCTGAGTTTGGTTGCTTTCACTAACCATTTTATTTGAGTGTGGTAGTAGTGTGTTCATTTTCATTGCTATATGATATTCCAAACCTATGACTGCACTATAATTTACTAATCTGTTCTCCTGTTGGTAGACTATTGGGTATTTACAGTTTTGACTACTTCAAAGAAGATTTCTAATTATTGTACATACAGTGCAAACATCTTATGTTGCTGTGTATACCTAAGATTGTTGGGTCATAGAGTATAAGTATGTTCAGTATGAGTTTATAATGTCAAACAATTTTCTTTTTTTTTTTTTTGCATAGAAGAACTGGGGTATAGGCCAGAGGTGCAGGGGTGGTGGTGGTGGTGGTGAGCAGGCAGGAGAAACAGGAAAGGTCTGCTATGCCATACGTGGGTTAGCTCCCTGGCCTGGGATGAAACTCAGCCAGTGATGGTAATAGCACTAAGACTTAACCCTAGGCCACCCAGGATGTCCCAATCAAACCATTTTCTAAGGCGCTTGATTCAATTTGCACTCATCAAATGCTTACCCCTTATTGATTTGATATCTGGAAAATGTATCTCTTAGTGTTAACATGTAATTCATTAATTTTATGTTTGATTATAATTTCTTACATTAAGCCATTCTGAGTTTTATTTCCATGTTAGCAACTATACCCACTTCTGCTCATTCAGTGTATAAATTTTTTTTTTTTTTTTTTAAAGATTTATTTATTTATTTATTTATTTATACAAGCACTGGATACAGTCAGAAGCGCGGGAGGGTGAGAGAATTCACCAGAGCCAGAGCGGGGAGCAGAGCAGGCAGAAGGACCGAAGTACACTGCTGAGGGGAGCAGCGGGCGGCAGGAGAGGTCTGCGCGCCATGTGGGACCCTCCTCCGGTGGCCGGGGAGCAGCCGGGGATTGAACCAGCACCGCAGAGGCCGCGGGCAGCTTCGCAAGCCAGCGCTCAACCGCTGCGCCACCAGGGAGGCCCCTCAGTGCATAAATTTATTGACTAAAATAATTACATTGGTTGTTTTAATATTTTGAAGAGATAACTAATTTGGACTTTCATTTTTGTTAATTTGTTCTTTCAATGTGCTGGTGCCTGCTAAGGAAATTATTTTTCCTAATCTAGCTTTGCTTTTTGCTTCTGTGCCAAGTTATCTTTATGTTGGTTGCCTATCTTCTGTCCTATTATTGCATCACAATAAGAATAAGATCAGAGAGACTGAGTAATTTCCCCCAAGTTATGTGATTAGGAAGTGAGAGAATCAGGATTTGAATACAAGCAGTCTAGCTTTAAATACCAGAATTTTAATCATTCTTCTATTCTAAACTGCCTTAAATATTTTCATCTATAGTCCATAATATGTGCTATCTGATTTTCTGATGAATTCCCCATGTTCCTTACCAACTCCACTGTGGATTTTAATTTTACTATTGTACTTTTACTTTCTGTGAAAGCCTTTCTAATTTGATCCACTTCTGTTTTAATTTCAGCTCATTCTGCTTTCTCCTGAAGACTTTACAATGGCTATAGATCATTCCTCTTCTTCCTTGACCTCTTGGCATTTTCTTCTGTTGATGTCATTGAGAACTTTCTGATGTCTTCTCAGTCTCCTTGATTTCTCCTACATCTTAAGTCTTGATTATCTCCAAGGCCTGTGGCTGTCTTCCTCTTTTTTCCTTTCTTATCTACACTTTGGATTCTATTTCATTTACTACCGTGATAATAAGTACCTACATATTTGTAACTCCAAAATATATATTTCACCCAGGCCTAATCCTGAACTTTATAATAGAATATTGATTCCAGTAAAGTTTTCTGAGCATCAATTTTACAGTCACATGTGAGATACTAGACATTTCCATCTGCATCTTACACAGGCACCCAAAACCTTAATCTCATCATATCTTCCTCCAAATTTTTTTTGGATTTTTTTTATTCCTTGGATTATTCCTTGGATTACTTTTTGCTGAATCCTAATGCCACCAGTTGCATAAGCCAAAAACAAAAGTGAAATTAACCTCAGAATACTCTATTTACTTTTAATTCTGTCATCTTTATTCTATATCTGAAATACCTTTTTGAACATTTCTGTTTCTTCATTCCAATCATCACTACCTTAACTCAGTCCCTCCCTGTGTATTACTTGGGGACTTGCAGTAGATCATTCTCTTCTCAACACAGTTAACAATGTCATCTTTCTAACACAGCAATAAAATGTTCTTACATTTTTTGCTATTTTGTCTCTCATTCCACAAAGTATTTATATCACCTCTTTTGCATGAATTCTATCATCTGTTTTTATCATTTGGTCCCTAGCAATATGATCACATTTTTCTTCTTCTGCTTCAAGTATCTTTCCTCTTAATAGTGAATTACATTTAATGTCACAAGCCTGGTGTAGTCTCTCTCTTATATCTGTTCTTGTATGCATTTCTCTTCCTAGAACATCCTCATCTTGCAATGATCCTCCTGATATTTAACTATGATTTTTACTATTTCTGCTGGAATGCTAAGTTCTCTGTGAAAGCTTCCCTGATTTCTACAGGTAGATTGGGTGGTCCATAGAATGCGTCCCACTTTTATTTGTATGCATGGCTAGTGTCTCTGTGGACATGTTCCCAAATGAGGCTGTCATTTTCCTGTGGTCAGAAAGTTCATCTTTCTAAAACAATACAAAGTTTTTTGTTAATGCCAGTTTTAAAGATTTGATAATTTAACTGATGTCTCTGGTTTTATAACTAGAGTGAAAATAGCTCTCTGGTAGTACATTCTACTACTAGTAGTAGTTCTAGTAGAGATTTGAATGAAAATAAAACTATGGCCATTATATAAGTTTGGGCATATTAATAAATGCAATTGAGACTGTGTTTTGTGGTAGAGATTACTAGATTTTACTTTCTAAGAGTGATCAGAAAGATCATGTATCTTCTTATATTTTTATGCCAAAAAAAGGAGAAATATTCCTTCCAGACTACATTGTAAGGAGATATTTGGACACAAGTGATTCTACCCTGATTCTACACCTTTGTAAACATACTAGTTATAGTTCCCTTAGTGTCTGTGCACATGAATTAAAAAAAAACTAATTTTCCCCTGAAGAAGTCAATCTATTTTCACAAGTTTCAATAATTTTAAAAACCATATTTTATGTTATTATAAGATAACTAACATTTAAAATAATTTTATATTAAATTTAAACTTGTCTAAAATAATGTAAATAATTCTAAGAAATTATTTTACATTATTTTATGCTTTCTTCACAACATCCTCCTTTTAAAATCAATCACTCATTTTATATCTTCTAGACTCTACAAACAAGATTGTGTTTTGTTCTATTTGACGAAGTACAACTATCACATTTAGTACTATTCTTCTCTTTCCAAGCTGAACCCCTTTAATCTACTCAACTAATCCTTGAATGAAACTGTTTTCTGACCCACTCATTATTCTTATCATCTTTCATTGTGGGATTTTACATTGAATTAAAATCAAGAACTCTAACACATTTTGAATAACTATAGTCTTCTCTGTCTGACATTGGTTTAGTCTTTCTTACTTTGGCACTGGGTACTAGCGCTTTACACTGCTTCTTTAAAGATCACACGAGGCTGCGGGAGGCCCTATTCTAGTCTTTCTTGATCCCTTGCTGTCCTTTAATCTTGTGATTATATTTCTATTATTTTAGCCTCTCATTTCATGCAGATTCTGTTAGCTCATTGTACAGGAAAAAGGCCTGAAATAATTGACATTGGACAACTTGAACAATGTTGGGTAGGGCAATAAAACAGAGAACCAAAGTTCTGAACTGATGTTACAAAGCGGAAGATACTTATTAAAATTTGTAATTATAACTAATAATTGAGGAGGGTGAATAATTATTTTAAGGAGTCTGATTAACAGCTTTCCATTGATGAGCTTGACTAACTTTTGAATTTACAGGTTGGTTGAGGCCAAATGGCAAATCAGATATGGTGACAGGTGCCCAACCCATGGGCTTCAAAGGTGATATTGTTCCCTTTGGCCTCATAAAGGACTGCCTCTGAGGTGCCCGTAGCAAGAGAGAGAAGGAGAGACATCATGGCTTCTCCCAAGATGCTGGTGCTCCTGTTCTCCATGACTTTGCTGGCCCTGATCTCAATACAAGGCTCTGCTGATGGTGAGAGGGGAAAATGGGGCTCTTAGGAAGGCTTTCGGGGATAAAATTTATGGAAAGGAATAAAGTTGGACTGAACCTTCTTAGAAATTTAGTACTTTGTTGTCAGAGAGTAGGTCAATAAAAAAAATTTCCACTGAAGGCCAATATCTTTTTAAAAACTGGACCTACGTCTCAAGCCAACATCTTCTTCATGTAACTTTTCAGTTTTTTTAGAGCTATGGACTTTCAGTTATTCAGTCTGTGTGAAATAGATCATGTAAATTGAATGAAAATTCTATAATTCATCTAGATATCTCATTTCCTTGACACCCAAAACTTGAACATTTAGAAATGTTAAGAATTTTGATTATTTTTAAATTCATTTTATTAAAATATTGCCACTCAGTAAGCATTATTACATGCTTCTCTTCATTTCATTACTTATTCTTTTAAAATATTTACAGGCCTGGTCATGTAGCCATATGACAGGCATTCAGTTATCATAAATCTAGGTATTTCTAGAAGTGAATAATTTCAGGTGACAGTGGAGGAATCTATATATTATAAAAGAAGAAGTTTAATTCTTTACCAGTCTCATGGCTTATATTAAATTTCCAGATACACAACAAAAATCCAGATAATTGTTACATAACTATAAACACCTAGATGTCAGACCTCTTCTCAGACAAATAAGGAGAAGTTGGAATGAAATTTTATTTTCTTATGAAATGTTTTGGCTTTATAAAGAAGTAGCCTAAGTCAAGAACATTAAACACATGAGCTCCTAATAGATTATTTAGTTCTAAACTGTTGTCATATCCTGAGATAAAGTTGCTGTTCACAGGGAAGGCAATTCTAAAATGGTAATTTCAGATTTCTCTGAAAGGTATATAGTATTAGCTTTCTCTGAATATTTCACAGAACATTCGTGATCAAGATGGAAGAAGTTTTTCGAATAAAAATATAGTTTAGGGCCTCCCTGGTGGTGCAGCAGTTGAGCGCTGGGTTGAGAAGCTGCCCGCAGCCTCTGCAGCGCTGGTTCAATCCCCGGCTGCCGGGCTAGGGCCCCACATGGTGCAAAGACCTCTCCTACTGCCCGCTGCTCCCCTCAGCAGCGTATTTCATCAGTCTGCCTGCTCTGCTCTCCCCTCTGGCTCTGATGAATTCTCTCACCCTCCTGCGCTTCTGACTGTACTCAGCACTTGTATAGATAAATAAATAAATATTAAAAAAAAAAAATATATATATATAGTTTAAAAGATTATAAAATGTAACATGCCCCCAAATGCCACCAAAGCAATCTGTTGAAAGAAGCAAAGAAAAATCTATTTTTCTCTGATAAAGGAGAGTGCTGCTTTGCCTAAGTGCCTCTGAAGGGAAAAGGCAAAGTCAATGTTTTTGAAAATGAAGTTTAGGGGTCTCATGTCAGAGGGCTTTACTAGGAATTTGTAAGACAATGATTTAAGAGTTTAGACAATAAGGGTGATGAGGTTCTGTGAAGAATCTTAAACAGGAAAAAATTGATGAGGTTCATGTTTGCTTAAATGGACTTTGGGCAAATTCTTGAAATAAACAATCATTATTTGTAACATTTAAACATAAATATCACTAACATATTTCCATGTATTTTCCTGACTTTATATATTTCTTACATGTTAATGAATTAAAATTATTTTGCATATGTAAGAAACGGAGATGTCTTTCTTGAGCAAGAGGCTGTTTTCAAGATTTAATAAAATTTTATTTAAAACAATCAGAAAAAAGAAACATTCATCTTTTCTGGCAAAAGTTTTTTTAAATAGTAATGCCATGTTAATGCAGACAGTAGGTTTTATGGTTGTAAATGGTTTTAGTTCTCAAATTTTCTTGGCTGCCAAGTATTACCTAATCTTTATTTGGTCACTGTGACATCCATCTCATTATACACAATGCAGAATTACTAAGATATTTGACTCCCTCTTTATCTCTGCTAAAGAATCAATGATCAGAGGATTACGGTTTGTTTGTTTTTTTTTTTTTTTGGAAATGATTCATTGTATTCAATCTTTTATTATTACTATTAAGCATTCATTGTTACTGTTATTTTCATTCTTATTCATTTTTAAAAATATTTATTTATTTATGCATACAAGAACTGGGGTACAGGCCAGAGGTGGCAGGGGGAGAGGATTCACCAGAGACAGAATGGGGAACAGAACAGGCAAACTGACTGAAATACACTGCTGAGGGGAGCAGCAGATGAGTCAGGAGAGGTCTGCTGCACCATGTGGGTAGATCCCTGGCTGACCCAGGATCTAACTTGTGCTGCAGAGGCTGCAGATAGCTTCATAGTGCTTTGCTTAACCGCTTGCGCCACCAGGGAGGCCCCATCATTTTTATTCTAATTTTTAATTCTGTTGGGCATTTAACTTCCTATATCTAAACCTATTGTCTTTCTTCAAATGTATTCTGAAAATTTATTTATTTGTTTATTTTTTTAAAGATTTTTTTTTTATTTATTCATTTATACATGCACTGAGTACAGTCAGAAGCGCGGGAGGGTGAGAGAATTCACCAGAGCCAGAGAAGGGAGCAGAACAGGCAGAAGGACCGAAGTACACTGCTGAGGGGAGCAGCGGGCGGCAGGAGAGGTCTGGGCGCCATGTGGGACCCTCCTCTGGTGGCCGGGGAGCAGCCGAGGATCAAACCAGCACTGCAGAGGCCCACGGGCAGCTTCGCAACCCAGTGCTCAACCGCTGCGCCACCGGGGAGGCCCTGAAAATTTATTATATAATACTTTATTTATCTTTGTTTTAAAATTTTTTGGATTAAATCCTAGATACTAATAAGGTTTGCAGACAATGTAGGTAAATCCCTATTCAAAGAATTGTTCCTTTTTTTTCCCTTCAGAATCTATCATACCTTTTTCTTCACTTATGTTTATCTCTTGAAAGTTCTCAAAATTGGGTCTATACAAGGGCAAATATGAATACCAAACTCATAAGTCCCAGTGATCCCAAGTAATATTGTTATATATCAAACATCTCCTTTCTTTTCATATTGTAGTCTCTTGTGTCTAATATTAAAATGTCTCAACATCAGTATGACCTACTCATGACCTACTCATGATTTTCTCCAAATCTTTCTACAACTGACTAATGATTAAATGACCTCAATCTCTTAAGCTTGTAAGGACATTATTTCCATCAATATTTAAGTAATTTGAGTCATAAAATTTGAGACTATGAAACTCTAAAGATACTATGTATTTTAAGTAAAATACAATAGTTGTTTTATCAATATATTTACAACTGTACCTTACTTATTTGCAATATGAATGCTTCATTCTATGATTTTAAATCTTGATATCTGTTTAAGTGACAGTTTGTCTCAGAGTCATTGAAGTTTAAAACCACTGATATGTCATCAAAGAAACGGCAGAAATGAGTAAATGAGTCAACTAAAAATTTTGTTACCTAAAGAAAATCTTTCCATGCTTAATGACTCTTCCCAGTTCCTGATTTGTCAATAGTCCTTCCATTTTGGGTTCTGATGGTGTTTCATACATGATTTTTTGTTGTTTTGTTTTTTCTTTGCAGCTTTCTCTCAAGTAAGACAGGACAATTATCCTCAATCAAGTGAGTCATTTTAAAGTTAATTAACTTATTTGGAAATTTTCTAAATAGATGCTAGGAACCTCTAGATTTTTGGTCTAATTCAAAATTTCTATCATTTTTATCTTAACAAAAAGAATTATGCTTACATATTAATATTTCATTTCCCAGTCATTCCACTATATAGTTTAATTTTATTAGTTTCACATTGCAGAAAGAGCACAGAAAACCATGCCCCCCCAAAGAAAATGATAATTTACATTAGACTGAAGAGTTCTCGAAGTCTAGGAGTCCTCCTATACACACTCCCACCCATATTACTTTTCTTCTGAGTTGTTTTCCACATAATTTACCTGACCTGATTGTATGAGAACATGCCCATTTGGGAATTCCCAAAAGAAATGTTTTGATTTATTATATTCTCTACTCCCAACATTAATTCAAGAAAATGCAGTATTTAATAATAACCATGTCAAGGTCCTATTCTTGACATCCTATTCTTGGATATAAAGGTAAATAAAACGGTATTCAAGATCTAATGGAAAGTTGAGCTTGAGCACAATGATGATCACCATAAGAAAAGTGGTAAAAGAAGAAATGGAAGCTTGGAGCAGGGGAGGAAAGGGAAGGGCTCTCAGAAGATGCTCTGGTGTGGAGGATGGAGGTTGGAGATGTAGGGGGAAGCAGAGTGAACTTCATGGGCAGTCTATGGATATCACATGGTCTGTCAGTGGTCTAGGAACACTGACTGACCCATAAGGTTGAGGTGAATATGGGAAGATTAATTTGGAACTGGAAGGATATAGTGAATGGCAAACAGAATTGAGTCTGCAAAGAATTCTAAGGGCAGTAAGGAGATTTTTTTTTAAGCTTCTATATTCGCGTGTGTGTGTCTATGTGTGTGTGTGTGTTTGTGTGTAGAAGAAATGGAGTATAGGCCAGAGGTGGGGTGGTGAAAGGATTCATCAGAGACAGATTGGGGAGCAGAACAGGTAGATCCACTGAAATACACTGCTGAGGGGAGCAGCGGGCGAGACAGGAGAGGTCTGCTGTGCCATGTGGGTTAGCTCCCTGGCTGGGGATGGAGCTCAGGCCATCACAGTGGGCTGTGGTGGCACTAGCGCTGAGTCTTAACCCTTAGGCCACCAGGAAGGCTTTTGCAAGAACTCTTTTGAACATTAGTTGCCCATACTAAAGTGACACATATTGCAAGTAGGCAACCATGGGCATATTGAGGAAAGCCTATCTAACCCTTCTGGGGAGATTGATCCCACAACAGTGACAGAGAATAGTGACAGCAGCACCCAAAGAAGGGAGAATAAATGGTGATGGAGCAAACACAACTAAGTAAGTACACGTCCATGCACTCATCAGAAGCCAGGATTCCTCTGCCCCTTCACTTCTTGCCAATGGTCAAGGCCAAGTACCATATAATCCAATAATGTATAACTTCTAAATTACTTTTGGCTATATAGATTCCACACGCGTCGCATTTAAGTTTACGGCTAACTTCTCCCTTGACTTTTTCCTCTCTGAATTTGTGTTCTCTTACTTAAGCCAACAATGGAGAAACTGCAGGCACCTATTCTACAAACCAGAGAAGTTCCCTTGCCAAGAAAAGTACAGGTTCTGGTTCACAGAATGGACCTTATGGAGGCCTGAGAAGCTCATCTGGATTGGGTAGCAACACTGGCAGAGGTGGCAGCAGTGGCTACAGTGGCAGTAGTAGCTACAGTGGCAGCAGTAGCAAAGGTGGAAAAAGTGGCCAAGGAGGTTTGAGTGGCTCAAGCAGTCTTAATGGCCAGGCCTGCTTTGGCAACCAGGGAAGCCAAGCTGGCCAGAGAGGTCAGAGTGCAAAAGGCACTAAGGCATGAAAATGAACACCAACTGAGGACAGTCTCCAGTGTTTCCCTAGGTATTAATTCTATTTTTATACATGAATCTAGTGCATTTATCTTTAAATTCCTTAATTCTCCTTCTTATTTGTTCATTTCTCTCATTTTTTAATCTTGACCTTAATCACTCTTAAACTCTTTGTCCAGATCCATACTTGTCACAATTCTCCTCCATTCAGCCTTATACAAAGAAAAGTCTCCTCCATATCATAAGAACAATGTTCTACTCAGTTCTTTTTTTATTCCCTTTTTTTTGTTTACTCATTTATTTATTTATTTTATTGAGATAACATTGGCTTACCTCATTTATATTCTGGAGAGTATAGGCTCTCCCCCTCTTCATGTATTATTAGCATAGTGCACCCCCCACCATCTCAATGGTCCATCATGCTGCCTCCCCACTTTGTTCTCACTCCTCTCCCTCCTCCTCTGAATCCCTCAGTCCTATAGTCAGTGTTCAAGGGTTACTATTTAAGTTTGACTTTACCTGACCCTCTCTTTGGTTTCTCTATATTCCACCTGTAAGTGACACTATCTGGTCTTTCTCCTTGTTGTTTATTCCACTTAGTATCATCCCTTCCAGATCCACCCTTGTTGGTGCACATGGCATGATTTTGTGCTTTTTGACTGCTGAGTAGTATTCCACTGTGTTTATATACCATATCTTTTTGATCCATTCATCCACTTTGGGCACTTAGGTTGTTTCTATATCTTGGCTATTACAAATAGAGCTGCTATGAACCTTCCTCTGTTAGCCTACAGCCTCCTTCAAGTTTTATCTCTTGCCTTACCACCCCTCATATCCTCTCATTTCCTATGTCCCTTTTCCATCTTTTAGCTGCTACTTCCTGTCCCTCTTAATGGGGTATCTTGTATTGAGAATACTTAATAGTAGTGATACCAGGCATGGATCATGCTCACACCAAGTTATTTCTTCTGTCTAAATCTTGGTTTCAGAAATTGATGGAGATCAACCGATGACTGCGACTTCCTAGGCGTGGAAACTTGGTCTCTCCTTTCCCACTTCAATCACCAATAAAGTCATTAGCAGTAAAGTCCTGGCTCTTGTTTTCCTTCTAGTGTCATTTTTCTCTTTCAAGGGACAAGGACAGGCTGGGAGATACAAAGTTGTGATGGGATTCCAAATGTTCTATGTAGAGCAGCTCTAAGGGAGTTCTGCTTTTATTACTTTTGTGAGGCCTTACCTACCTCCAGTATTCCCAAACAAAAGATTTATTTTGTGACCAGTAAGGGGGCTTGCCAAATTCAGAAGATCAATACACATAATCTTTCCCTAACTCCAATACACAGAAAATTACCTTGTCAGCTTCCTCTATCTCTGGCCGTCTTCCCACACACATTTGCCATGACATTATATTTTGGTTTAGGTCTTGAACTCAAGAGGATCCCCAGAAACTGTCTACCCTCAACATGCTCTGACAGAGAAAGACTCATCCCAAACTGTCAGTCAGATAGGCTTGCCCTGGGATTGAAGACATTGAGATGACTTCAGGCACTATATTTAGCTCATACATGTTGACATAACTCATTTCTTTGGCATATATGCATTTGTAGAAAAGGTTGCTTAAACTAGGCAAAGGTAACTGAGTGTTATGAGTTGAATCATGTCTCCCAGAAATCCTTGTGTTGAAATCCTAAGCCAGTGCTTCAGAATGTAGCTGCATTTGGAAACAGATTTGTTGCAGTTGTAACTAGTTAAGATGAGCTACAGTGGGAGCAGGGTAGGCCCCTAATCCAACAGAACTGGGTATCCTTCTGAAAAGAGAAATTTGCACACAGACATGCACACATGGAGAATACCATGTAAAAATGAAAACAAATCAGGGTGATGAAGCAGAAGCTAATGAACAACAAAGAGAAAGTGGGGTGAGGGCACAATGGACTTGGTGCCAGATTGTGGGTGCCTTCGTGTCTGGTCCGCTATGGCAAGTAACTACATCTGATGGGTGTGAGACCTAGCCACCATTCCTCTGTACAACCACCATTTTAGTATTTCAAGTTTTGCTTACTTAAGACTAAATAGCTTGCATTCCAGAGAAGGTTTCGACCCTCACCCCACTCTGGTCTTATCTCGGACGGCCAGCCACAGCGGAGCCGAGTAATTCGGACCACTAATGGGGTCAAACTAGCCATAAAATAGAGCTGCATCTTGGTGTGACCAATCAGCTCAAAAACTGAAACCGTGCGCCCACCGTTGTTAGGAAATGCACCCGTATAACCAATGAATGGTTGCCAACATGATTTGATTTTTTAAATTTGCTTGTAACCCTATAAAGGATCCCTGTTCCCTTTGTTCAGGGCTCTCAATCTCTGCCGCTGTGACGGTGTGTGTCCTGAGCCCGGACTCCAGCCCGAAATAAACTCCTTTGTGTTCTTGCATCAGCTGACTGTGTGTCCTAGGGGGCTGCACTTGTCAGCCCTGGGCACAACAATGGGGGTGTAGTTAATACACCAAAATACAAACAATGTTGTAAACCGATGTTACCTCAATAAAAAGCTAAATTAAACAAAAAAAAAAGATCCTGAGTCTTCAAGAACAGCAATGATGCTCTATTTACCTTCACATCCTCCTGCTAGAAACAGGGCCCTGCCTAAACAGTTATTCAAGGAGGCCAAAGTCAATGCAGAAGTTGTTGTTTGAATGTTTGACTATGGGGGGCTGAATGACATCATTCTAATGGAACAGAGAAATGCTTCCTAAAAATGAATTTCTTTTGCCATATGTAGAGTTGAAGGAACAAATTTCTAGCAGTTTTTAGTAGACTTTTTTTTTCCCAGCCACACTTAAATGCTGAACACAAAGAGGATTCTATTACCCAATTGTTTTTTTTCTTAATTAAAAAAAAAAAATTGGGGCCTCCCCAGGTGGCACAGGTGGCTGAGCGCGCCGCGCTGTGAAGCTGTCCGCAGCCTCTGCAGCGCCGGTTAGATCCACCTGGCCGTCGGCGAGGGTCCCACATGGCGCTACAGACCTCTCTTGTCTCGCCCATGCTCCCCTCAACAGTGTATTTCATCAGTCTGCCTGTTCTGTTCCCCACTCTGTCTCTGGTGAATCCTCTCGCCCTCCCGTGCATCTGGCCTGTACCCGGGTTCTTGTATAAATAAATAAATCTTTTAAAAAACATTTATTTTGTGGCAATAATATTGTTTTAGAGCCCTGCATGTGATTCAGAGATACAAGTTCACATCGCTTTTGCATGTATGTTACCACACCACACCCACCACCAACGTACACATAGTCCTCCACCATTGGGGGGTCCACTGAGCCCCCTCCACACATTGCTCCCCATCCTCTCCCCCATCCCTTTAGCTTTAATTTTGCAGATTTTTTTAAGAATAAAAATTTACATTTATATGTACATTTTAATTACATATTTAAAATTTTATGATCCAAAAGTTAAATACCAGATTATCTGGCTCTTTTCTAGACACTTAGAGAGCCTGACCAGATCTGCTGAAGAATTGCCCTCCCCACACATAGTGGATGATAGGCCCAGACTGGCTCTCTGAGGATGTGGTCTTTTGAATTGAAGAGATGTGGTTCATTACAAGCAGGCAAGGATTCCAGTCATCACTAGTGTCTGCCAAGAGAGTTGAGAATTCACTGATCCAAAGACCTTACCAGCAAGAAATGCTTTCTGAAGTCAAACCTATACATATATCTACCTCTTCTGCACCTAATTAGTGCCTATCTTTCAACATCCACTCAAAACCTAAATGGCTGGAGACAAAACCTTGCTGGCAATCACTGATGAGTCATTCTCTCCATCTAAAACTCAAGAGCTTTCAATACTGTGTTCTGACAGATGCTGAGTACATCCATTCCAACTTTATTCTTGAGAATGAGAGAGACTAGCAGAGGATAGTGATGTGGACCTTCAGAACAACTTGTCTCCCCCAAACCTCCACTCCCACTGGAAGCTCCTGATGGAATTTTCATTGCCCAGATGCTAGTATTCAATCAAATCCTGTTCTTAACATCTCTCAAAATATCTAACTATCTCTCTTATCCCAGTTCACAATTACTCCATAAAATGGGTGCATTTCCCTTTGGGGAGGATTGAAGATTAGGAAAACATGCACCATGAAAATTCGCAGTGGTTTTTAGGATCTTTCTTCCCTGAGACCAGATCTTTGCTTTGATTAATGGACTTTTTGGTAAGTGACTCAGAGCTGGAGATTTGAGAAGGAATGGTGGTTTTCTATCACAGTGACTTCTTGGCATTTATTTTTTCCTTGCATAATTCGAGAGGTACCTTATTTGAATATCTCCCTTAATCCTAGGAATGCCATTTCTATTAGTCCTCACCACAGATTCCTATGGATCAGTATGCACTGATCAGCTCTCTAGTTGACATTGCTATCCAATGAGATACTAACGATTAAGTGCTGTAACTGGCAGTTCCAATGTATTCACTGACGATAGGGCGCCCAGTTTCCTGGAAGCCTCTCCTACCAGTCAATTCTGGCCTGTGGAGAATGCCCCATTACTGAGTTTTCCATGATTCCAGGGCTCAGCGAAGGGCACATCCTCAAGGATATCCTGGGGTATGGAGTTAGGTGGTGGGTTTTGGATCTGATATAATCAGTCCTCCTGATGTTATCATCTCCTTGAACTTCCTGGTCTTTCTTAATACCATGTCAAGGAAATTGCAGCAACTCCACTGTACATAGGAGGCCATCATGTGTCCCAGTGTCACGGAGCTGTCCCAGTGGAATATTAGTACTGGATTTACATGCCTGGCAAGGCCATTGAATGCCAAGTTGTTAGCAACTTGGCGCTATGTCAAGGGTCCCCATGGCAATAAATTCCACAGATCCAGACTAAATACAGATGACTCTTCCATCCTCCACCCTCAAAATCCATTACCAACATTTTTTCTTATTCTTGTTAATATGTTAACAATATGTGCTAGCATTCGTTTGAAACTCTTTTCTTTTGGGACAGAAATGGCTTC